ATTTTAAAATTAGCAAAATCCCTAAAGCACTAATCAGGAAATTAGTTCCCCTATTAGTGATTTAGTGCTTTAAGGGAACTGCTGGTCAGAAACAGCCAGTAAATGGACTGTACTTGTATAGCGCCTTTCTACCCAACCAGGATACTCAAAAGCGCTTCACACTACAATCTGTGCCCTCATTTACCCATTTGAAGAAATTTTTTGGGGTTGTTTACTAATGACTTAAAGACACTACCAATTGTATAGTCTTTTATTAGGTGAACAGTAATATATTTTTATAATGTGTTATCTCTGATTTAATTTATGATTTTATGTGCAGACTGGGTTGTGGGACTCTTGACCAGGGATTCACACACTCAGGAGGCTGTTAGATACATGCCTGATTTAAAACAACACACATAAGAACTGTGTTCAAACATTAGCGTGAGCAATAATGTCTGACATCTTGACTCCGTATAGAAATAGCCTGCCCCTTTAACATATGTAATGAGGTGGGGTCAGGATGCRAAGAGGTTGGTTACTTGATGTGTTTTTTCCGGGTTCTGGTCACTCTTTAGCTGATGCCTGTCAGAGGCAGATTAAACTGAAGCTAATCAGTCCACAGCTGTGTCCGGATGGTTTTGTATGGCTCACTCAAACATTCACATGTCATTATTAGTAACTGATCTAAACAGGTAAAGTGTAAAGAACCTTGCTYATTTTTTAACACATTCACACAGCACTCTATTAGGTCTCTACAAAGCTAACATATGCAATTATCTATGGAGACTAATCAGTGCCAATCACATTCATACACTGATGAAGTATCTTGCCCAAGGACACAACTGGAGGAGGCAGGGCTGTAGAGCGGCAGAGAGCAAGGATGAGGGAGCTTTAAGGTGTTTTTGTTCACATTTTCATGCTAACCGCGTTGTTATCTCAGAATTACTGCATCTTTAAAGATCATGTGCTTTTTTTAAAAACCTTTTCACAGATAAAGACTGGTTRTGTTTCTCTGCAGGCTCCTGGTCGGTGCTCCATGGAGTGGTTTCTCTGCAAACAGGAAGGGGGATGTTTACAAATGTCCAGTCTCAGGATCCAGAAACAGCTGCGATAAACTCAGTCTGCAAGGTAAGACTTCTTGTTTTGTTGTTCCCTCGACCTATAAATCACCCTTCATATTAAAAGCAGCTCAAGGTGTTTTACAAAATTATGCACAATAAACCCATAATATAAAAACAACAATAACACCCTCCCCCCTCCAAAAAAAATCTACAGGGTCTTGTTAGCTTTTTTTGTTTGTTTTTGTTTTGTTTTGTTTTTTTGTTTGTTTTGTTTTGTTTTTTTGTTTGCAGGAAATCACTTTTTTCCACCAGTGCATGAAATTTATTTAAACATTGAACTCATGGCAGGAAAATAATTGATCAAATAGCAAAGTTATTAACAACTGTAATCTAAACTTCATGATATTTATGATTTTATTTACAGATTCTGTTAGTATTCCAAATGTTAAAAATGTCAACGCTAACATGTCCCTGGGTTTGACTCTGACCTGGATGCCAGCTGTCGATGATTTTCTGGTATGTTCTGGTGTGTGTGTTTTCATAAATATGTTGGAAATCATTTAATTTTTACATTTTTGATTGTAGTTTATCCTGTCAGCTTCAAGCTNCGGACAGGATAATAAAATAATTAGATCTTAATAAATTAATTTGTTTCATCAAGCAGTCTGACACACATTCTTTTAAAAATTACATAAATATGAACATTTTACCTAAAAAGAAGACAGGAAGGAAGGAAGTGCGTTTGTGGTTTATTTAAATTTATTGGCATTGCAGGGAGTAGGGAGCAGTTCAACCTTTTCCTGTATAAATTTGAACTTTTAACATTTTAATGTGAGGTAATTCAGGTTTAAATCAGAACTTTTAATGGCAGCAAAAATACAGAGCATCCATTACTTTTGTGCTTATTCCTCTCTTTTTTTTTTTCCGATGCAGATGTGTGGTCCACTTTGGGGGCAGCAGTGTGGAGACCAAAACTTTTACCCAGGGCTGTGTGCAAAACTGAACCCCTATTTTCAACTTCAACCTGCCTTCTCTCCTGCTGTTCAGAGTGAGCAAATTTACTCTGATCAGTGATTGCTTTAACTTGTGTTTCATCCTTTTTGACTGCTTTCAGGCATCAATGAAACAAAAAACAAAGCTAAAATCACTGTTTGCATCTATTTAAGCATTTGTAAAGTTTTGTGTTTTGTGTCTTGCAAGCAGCAGATGGTTAAATGTAAAATTAAATATTAACTGTGGTAAGTTCAATAGATTTAAACCTGTCTTCAGTTTTATTCTTTGTGCATAAATATTTGTTCCTTCTGTTTGTTTTCAGCGTGTGGCGGGCCGATGGACATTGTGATTGTTTTAGATGGTTCAAACAGCATTTATCCCTGGCCACCAATGACTGACTTCCTGCTGAAGTTAATACCCTCCTTAGACATMGGGCCTCAAAGTACACAGGTGACATGAAATAAATCAGCTTCAGTCTGTCTTTGCTTTGTTCTTTGTCTCATCTTATAATTTTAATGACTATTCCAGATAAGTGTCATCCAGTATGGAGAACGTCCCCAATTTGAATTCAAACTGAATGAATTTAAAACCAAAGCAGAGATGATTGCTGCAGCGAAAAAAATCAACCAGATGTACGGCTCTTTAACAAATACATTCCAGGCAATTCAGTTTGCCAGGTTGGTGTTATGTTTTTTTGTTTTACAGCATTTTATTAAAATGAAAGTGTTTTTCTTATATATTTTTTGTAACTTTTGTCATTCGTAGTTTGTTTAAAAACCACAGCTTTAAAAATGACTTCCTTTGTGTCCTCTCTCTTCAGTCGGGAGGGTTTCAAGGCGACTTACGGCGGGCGACCTGGTGCCGCCAAAGTCTTGGTTGTTGTTACTGATGGCGAGTCACATGATCAGGATTTAAGAGCCACGGTCATTCCTGAGTGTGAGACAAAAGGCATCACACGATTTGGCATTGCGGTACATCCTTTACCATTCACTAACCTTACTGTGACTTTATTGTTGGGGTGTTTGATAATTTCACTTTGCTGGAAAGGGTTTAGGACTGCAGCTTCAACTTAATTTACAAACGTCTCTTAAAATCATGCTCTAGATTGGATGGTGTTACAATAATGTTGGTTTGTTTTCTTGTTTAGTTGTTGGTGAGATATTACAAACAGATTTGCGTAACGTCCTCTAATTATTTTTTGTCAGTTCACCACTTTAAGAGCCGACAGAATCTAAGAAGCAAACCGTTTTGAAATTGTGTGTTTAAAGCTTAAAAATTCTGTGAAACATACGCTTTTTCTGCAGGTCTTGGGTTATTATATCCGAAACAACATAGACACAGAAAGCCTGATTGAAGAAATCAAATCCATTGCTAGTTTACCYACTGAGAAGTTCTTCTTCAACGTGTCAGACGAGGCAGCTCTGTCCACRATCGCTGGAACTTTGGGGAACCGAATCTTCAACATAGAAGGTGAATATTATTTTTTATTTCTGCTCTTGTTGTTCATTCTTTTTTAGTTTGTGGTGTTTAATGCTTTGTTTTTTACTAGGTACTGGGAAAGAAGGTGAAAGCTTCCAGATGGAGATGTCTCAGGTTGGATTCAGCGCTCATTATGCCAAACAGCAGGTACTGCAGACAACAASAGAAATACTGCTGCATGAATTAAGCTATATCTGTTTTAGTCTTCTCTGTGTGTTATTATTGGTAAGTAAAAAAAAATATTTTATGATTGTGTTTGTTTGAGAACCGTACCACCTTTAAGARCATCTCTCCTGTGTACCAGTCATTTAAAGTAGGATTTATCCCTTTTAAGTAAAATAAAACTGTCATTTATTTTAGTTGCTCAACTTGTCTTTGTGCCGATCAAGGATGTGATGATGCTCGGAGCTGTGGGAGCGTACGCCTGGAGCGGGACCGTCGTCCATCAGACGGGCTCTAAAGTAACCATTTTCCCATTCTCTGCCTTTGAGGGGTCACTGCAGGACAGAAATCACAGCTCTTTGTTGGGTAAGCTTTTRCAGTTTTATTCTGCGTTTGACCAGCTGTTTTWTGGGATTGTATCAGTTGAAATCTGCAGCAACGGTGTGGTGTTTGGTAAAGTAAGGATGAATGATTTGACTCTACCTGTATATGAGAGTTAGGTTGGTTTTGGAGAACTGAGACTGAGCAAAGCACCTTCTGAGTGAAAACTATCTCCACCATTAAGATTATATGGTTAGTACCAGGGGTTTAAGCACCAAATTCTGGGCCCTGTACACTCTTGATGTCGGTGGGCCTCTATCCATGCCAGTGCACGAGGTGCATAAGCAAAAAAAGAAAAAAGGGGGGTATTCTTTTAAATACAGAAGCATAATTAGGGTTTTAAGCTACAGTCAGATCAGATTATATTGATGAGTGGTTCTTTCATTCACCAGCTGAATTGATGCATTTGGCCTACCTGTGTTCAAATACCAAAAAACATTATGCTACATCTGGTTTGTGTACTAATGGACTCCGGGACATGCAGCAGCTCTGACGAGGCGCATTGACCACACCAAATTGTTAATATTTAAAAGTTGTAGAGCGACCGAAACGTTTAACCAGCTGAACAGGCCAGCCAGTCAGCAGGCAGACCACGGGAAACCCCCCAGTTCTGTCTGTCCAGGTCCGCCCGCAGCTCTTTCAGCTGTGTCTGGGTTCCACACTTCCTGGTTGCTGTCGGGCGGACTAAACCATTTTGCGCCTCCAAGAGGGGGGCCCCCAGAATGTCCAATATGGTGTGGACAGTAAAATAAAGTTCATTCTCTTAGGTTATGTTATCAGTATATTTGAAATAAATTACTACACCAATTAATTGAAGGGCCCATTTCATTTGGGATAAAATAAATAAATAAATAAAATCAGGACTTCCATGGGCCCCTCTCCCTTCTTGGGCCCTGGGTAGTCAGTCCACATTTCCCCCCACTTCCACGCCCATAGTTAGTACTGTTTGTTTGCCTTTTTGTTGGCAGGCTTATTGAAGCAAAGCATGAACAGTTTTGAAAAATTGACAGAACGTGTGACGGCCTAACAACAGATCAGTCACACCATTAWAACAACCCACATGTGTTGGGCAGGGCCTCTAAAAGAGCTCTGATAAGCTTCAGAACTCCTCTGGGGCGCTTAATACACAAACCACAATCATTACATTGTTGTTCTGTGCATGAAATGTGCAATAAGTCATGCATAACGTCACTTATTATATCCTGTATTCCTACCTTTTGTGATTCTCAAAAACACAAGTTTAAAATGTAAAATAAATTCACACCATCTGAACATTAATAAACGCTGCTGCAGGTTCTTAGCCTTCCAGGACACGGTAATCCTGATAAACAGAACCAAACTGGACTTCCTTTTTATTACTGAAGATGTTTTTCATTTCAAGCTGAATGGTGTGGAGATCAAGGTTTTAAACCACATCAGTTGTTGTGCATGAAATGTTGGGTTAACCCATGCTGTACATGCAAGTGAGGGATTTGCACAAGAGTTAAACAACTTWGAAAATAATTCACAGAACACATTTTAAAAGTACAGTTTTCAGTTTGGAGTTGACAAACCTCCTTTAACAATAAATATGTTCCTTTTTTAGAGTCGAATAAATCGTCCGGTCACCTTTTTGATTCAATTTAACAAGGTGAACAGTAAAACAAACTAAATATGCATACAGTATGCAAAACTAACAGCGTTTTATGTTATTGTGCCTGAAAAGATAATATTAAAAGAAAGAAACTGAATGCATTTGTAAAACTATTATCTCAGAACTTTGTAGACTCACCACTTCTTTATTCTAAAGAAATGTAAAACCTCAACAACAACAAAATGAGTTAAAGAGAGCACTAATGAAACCTCAGATTAGGACATCTTTGGTAGGTTTCTGTGTTTTACAATCAGCCAAGAACCTCCAAAAGTAAAACACTTCTGTATTTTTAAGAATGCAAGAAACCTGTTCCTTTAATTTGTCAAACCGAAACTTTAAAGTCAAAAAGATGTCTACGTCTGGGTGTCAGTATGCTAAATGTAGATTTTAAAAACCACCTGAGAGAGACTCCACACCTGCAGTGAGACAAATTAGCTCTTTAACCACAGCCACTGAAGAAACTAAGGGTGCTTTCACGTCTGACACATTTGGTTGGCTTTAAATAGTCTAGAGTTTGTTTCCCCCGCTGGTCCTGACATTTTATGCACACTCGTGAACCCTGGTGCGGACCAAACAACTGGACCAAGACTCATTTTTGAGGTGGTCTCAGTCCGCTTCTAAACCAACGTGGTGCGGTTTGCTACTGGTTTGAATACAGTCCGGCCTCGAACCAAACCAACTGCAGAAAACATGCACCTTTTTTCGATTTCACCAGCCACCATTGCTAAACAGCATGGTAGCAATTAGCCCTTCAGTGTTGCTAACGCTACACTATGCTACAAACAATGACCCGTTGTGGGTCAGGGTACTCAGATCATCTTCGTCATCCCAAAATTAGTATATCATTGTGAAACTGCTGTTTAATGAGCTGCTCTTGAAATTCTAAATGGTATTACAGTTGTWTCAAYAGCACCAACAGTCCCGCCCTCATCAGTTCTGTCAAATGGAAGCAATGACGTCACCCGTGTGGCATTTTGTTTATAAATTATGGTCTGCTTGCAAAAAAGCACAAAAACTGCACCAAACCAAAAAAAAAAAATAAATAAGTCCAGACAGTGGACCAAAGGACTTTCCTGTTGTGAATACATCTAAATGTCGTAATATTTACCTTGTTTGGCAAAAGGAACATGTTTTCTAGTGTATGTTTTTAGTGATRTTTTCTGATGGAGACAAATACACACATTATTTGTATTATTTGTACAATACCACTTTCAGTTTCCTGCTGGTATAAATGCCAACCCTCGTGGAAAGTTTCAAAAAGTGTTTTTAAGAGACAGAGTTTACTCCAGCAGTTACTTGAAAAGTGTCAAACGTTATATTCTGTTGTGGGTTTAGGTTCACAGGATGTTGGTTTTCTTTGCAAAACAAAGTGGGCATGCACAAAAACCTCTCATTACATTCATTGCATTTGTTTTTGTCGACACATTACATTTCCTTTATTTCTCTGTTTACATTTGTTCAAGTTAAAATTGTAAAATGACTTGACTTCTTATTACTCCACCTAACTTATGGCTGAAGGTTCAGTTAAACGGATAGTTTTCACTTTTTGTGTGTGTTCATCTGCAGGTTACTCTCTAACCACACTGAGCGATGGGTCTGCAGAGTACTTTGTGGCCGGTGCGCCTCGTTCCAATCACTCTGGACAAGTTATTGTCTACACAGTCAGATCTGACAAGCAAACTGCTATCATAGATTCAGAGAGAGGGAAACAGGTACAAACGTCAGGGATTGGTTCGTTCACACTCAGGAGCAAACAGATTTCAGTAAACAGAAAGTAAACAGCCATAACTTGGATGTTGCAGATCGGCTCGTACTTTGGGAGTGTTCTGTGCTCGCTGGACGTGGACATGGACGGGGTGTCAGACCTTCTTCTGGTAGGAGCGCCCATGTACATGAGTGACCTGAAGAGAGAAGAAGGCAGAGTCTATTTGTTCTCTGTCACTAAGGTAACACTGGACGAAAAGCCATTTTTTAGAAACACTTTGCATTTGAGAGACCAATCGTCATGTTGAAACACAAAAATAAGTTCTCATTCATAGTTTCTGCTTCCGTCAYTGGGAGCTTTAGACGGTTGTTTTGGCTCCATCGCTCACAGACTTCTTCTGTGTTTTCATCTGAAGGGTATCCTAAATGAGCAGGGATTCCTCACCGGTCCAGCCCCGACTGAGAATTCACGTTTTGGAATGGCCATTTCTGCCGTTCCTGACCTTGACCTCGACGGTTACAGTGACGTCGTGGTTGGAGCACCACTGGAGGAAAACGGAAAAGGTGTTGTTTACGTCTACAATGGGGACAAGAAGACCTTAAACAAACAGTTCTCGCAGGTAAAGCCAGTGTTTGTGTCTTTAAAGTGGAAGAAAATAATACACAATAATCAGTATTTCATTTTTCTTTTTTTTTTTAATTTAAAAGAAAATCATCTCTACAGTTGTGTGTATGTTATATTTATTTCACAGAGAATCCTTGGCTCCAAACTTGATCCTAACCTTCAGTATTTTGGAAGATCGCTTGATAGCTTCAAAGATCTGAATGGTGATACCATTCCTGACGTCTCCATCGGTGCTTATGGCAAAGTGGTGCAGCTCTGGTGCGTCAAAGCTTTAAACTCAACAAAGAAACAAACATTTTGGACTCGCATGAAATGCGTGTTTAATTAAAACTGAGTGAATTAGTAGATGTGGTGAAGCTGATGTTATTCTGAAACTGAACTTGATTTCAGGTCCAGAGGAGTGGGAGTGGTTACAGCTACAGCTTCATTCAACCCAGATAAAATCAACATTTTCAACAAACTCTGTGATGTTAGTGGACGCAAGCATTCCTGCTTCAACACCAAAGTTTGTTTTGCAGCTTCGTTCAGACCCAAGAAAACTGTGGGGTCCATCGGTAATTCTTTTAATYAGTGATAAAAGATCAGATTTTACAGAAATGTCAGAGTTGCTGTTTTCTCTTTTTCAGCCTTTTCCAAAAGTTGTGAGAACATGATGCTCTCTTTTCTCTTACTTTTAGCAATTTTGTTTTTGTGAGAATGAACTGATCAGTTTGATTAGTTTTGTGCAATTGAAGATGTTGAAAAATAATTCAAATTAACGTTGATGCCATTTTGGCTCTCAAAAATTTAAGGGTTTACATAAATAAAAAACTTAATTCTGCTGGCAAAAAGTCAGCCATAAGTGTGAAAATGTAAAAAGAATATCAAACATACTTTAAAACAAGTATAAATATGAAAAAGTACTGCTCTCTGAATATGTTGTGGGACTGTCAGCTTGCCAGACATTTGGGGAAAATAAAAAAGTATTGCACTTTGATATCAAGCACTCTTACTTTTACCTTTATTTCAGATGTTTCCTACACTTTGACTCTGGATGCTGACCTGCTGGGATCACGAGTGACRTCACGAGGGCTGTTTGTAAAAAACAACGAACGTTACCTGAAAGTTAAACAGACAATCTCATCAGCATCCCAGTGTGTTGAAAACCAGGTTTATGTTCAGGTAAGTGTAAAAACAATGTGCTGACTTTATTTGTATTTTCTGGCTTGGAGACGTTTTGTTCAAGTCTTTTATTTTTGTGTTGAACAGGAAACCCCAGACTTTGTGAATTCCCTCAGTCTGAAAGTTGAAGTCGAGCAGGAGAACGCAGATGTGAACCCGGTTCTCGACATGTTTTCTCCAAACGCTTTTGAATTCTTTGTAAGTAGCGAATACAAAACATTCACTTCTTCTTTTCTTATATTGTTTGATCAACAGGAAGTAGATGAGACAACCTATAAAAATAATAGCGTATGTGTCTCACAGTCATTTAAAATTACACAGTTTTTCCGTGTGATAATTGCTGCCTTGTTTCTCTGAGTCACAAGTTCTGGTTTGAAAAGCAACAAAATTAAATCCAAATCATTGTGGTAGAAATAAAATATGCTTCTTCACCTGAGGCTTTTAAATCTGAGTGCAGCACTTAAACAATGAAACTACCCTTAGCAAAAAGTAGTATTCCTGAAGTTCATTTTAATAAGTATACCACACAACATGAACTTGTAGTGTACTAGAAAGTATATTGATTTATTACTTACTTTGGACTAAATTAAGAACTTTTGTTTGTTTATTAAAAGTATACTATAAGTGTACTGTTCCTATCCTGTCTTTTTAAGTTTACCAAATTATACATTCAAGTACACTCATCTATATACTACTAGTATGCTGCGTATATACAGCGGGTAAAATAAGTATTGAACACGTCACCATTTTTCTCAGTAAATATATTACTAGAGGTGCTAATGACATGAAATTTTCACCAGATG